ACTTTCAGCATATTGCACACCCAGTAAAGAGGCTTTTTGATGAGCATTGTTAGCAGTGGAGCCTTCCGTCCTCAATAATACTTGGAAAGATGAGCCAGCGTTAGTTCGCCTTTGGTCAATAGCGGAGAATCCTTTGTGGTTTGCGGAGCCTGAGTTAGCCAGATCCATCGCATAGCAAAGGCTAACAGCGCGTTGAAATCACTTGCAATCCTGTTTCGCTTCACGATAACGCCGTAAATTGCATTCCGAGCATGTTGTCTGGTATGCCTGTCATCATCTCCATCATATATCTGATAGCTGGTGTGCAAAGGAGTCCAAAAACGGTGGCTTTGCTTTTGCAAACTTCCTTGCCGGAAAGTTCTGTTGGTGTGGGAGAAATTAGAGAGGAAGTAAGTTAATGTATTTTATGCCGTCTGCATATCAGCATCCAGCAACTGCTGCATGGTGAGCTAACTACCTTTGCTGTAATTGTCTGAAAGCCTACACTCCAAATATTCGGACTTGGAAACCTGCGTAAACCTTAGTCTTCAATGTGGGTAAAAGTGGATGACAAACACATATGTTCCCTGGCTCCTAAAGGGGAATTATAAATAAATAAATAAATAAACTTTTATTCTCGACCATGCGAGACACACCATTACAGGCATGATCATGTTTAGCTAACAGTGTGATCAATAACGTACAAAAGTACATGTTTGGCATAACAATATATGTAAGTGTATGGGTGTATATGCGTATGTAATTGTGTATGAATGTAGCTTGTGTCTTTGAATGTGCCGCAGCATATTTGAATGTTTGTTGTCGTCAGGAATGTGAGCATAAGCAATTGATGTCCTTGGGTTGGATAGCACTTTCCCTATGTCCACGGGCCAGTGACTTTATTTTGTGGCGAGTCACATCCGCCACGTCACAGTGTTGATAAACAGACATTTGTGGCTTTTTATAGGGAGAACGCTTGCCAGGCGAAAACCCACCACGTCCTGGAACACTGCCGCCGAACTATTTGCTGGAACGGATTAAACCCGAACCACCCAGCTGGCACCACGAGGAGGTTGATCGGCTAGCCATCCAATGGACTTTGCGAAAACCAGGTCTAACAGAGAAGTAGCATGGCCCACCATGTACCTGGTGGGTGGATTAACAAAACGGATGCAAGAATACTTGTAGTGTTAAGGCGACACGCTCACCAGCTAACCTTTATGCCGCTACTTCATAAGATAGGATATGCCAATTTACTTCTGGGACTTTGAAGTTCCCCATTGCCAAACATCCGTTCACCGTGTGCGAGCTAATGAAGCCAGTGAAACTCCTGGAAGCGTTAACAGGGCTCCTACAGAAATACAATTTAAGGATGCATGGCTTCAGTATAGACTTCTAATGAAAGTGCTTCAGCCATACTATCACATCAGATAAAACAACGTGCTTTAATATTTTTAGACCACATTTGATATACAGAACTACTCCACCTTCGCTATGGTCAGCTGGGCCGTCAGATCTCAGTGGTGCACAGCTCGGGGCTAATGATTCACCATAGGGTCGGAAGACACCATATTTCAGTGAACGCCAGTACATCAGGATTGGAGCAGGCTGTTAGAGCACCAACTTCACACACATGGTTGCTCAGGCATGCCGGTTACTGAGAACTGAGTGAAACCGTTTGTCAGGTAGAGCCCAGGTTCGTATGACACCAGCGTAGGTTTTGGTAGGGCGGAAGTGGACTGCCGGATCATCAGCTGAATACCCAACAAACAAAGACCTTTTTCGCCAGCCGCACAACGCGCGTTAATATTTCTGATTGCCTCCTTGAGATTTTTGGTTTCCACTGAAAGTAGCTCCTTCTGTATACTAATGTCGGAATCCGAGAGTTAAAAAGCGAACCTCAAAAGAGCTTAGCACAAATGCTGTGTAGACAGAACCATGCGTAGTAGATGTAGCCCGCTTTTTGTACCGCCTCCCGATGTGTGCAAGTGTTGTACGTTTCCTACTGGTAACCCAAGGAAACCCGCACGGAAGCAGTTAAGTAATGTAAGTTCGAAGCAGTGAAGGTCGTCCAGCATACGCGCCTACAGTAGAGCTGCGGTGTACTCAGAGGTACTCCTAAAGATAATGTTGCTGTTCGCGTATGCATTTCTAAGACGGGGCATTTACTGCTAGCGTCAACTTAGCAGGGGCCGGCGCAGCGCCTGACTTCATATCCTGCTTTGTATGAACAGGAGGTGCACATAATGAGTACTCTGTCAATGGAGTGGAGGTATTAGCTGCGTATGTTACCGGGGACGGAGTAACAAACGAGCACACTACTGTATACCCCGGCGTGGATTTGGTTGAACTGATCGATTTGTCTATATTACATTTCTTTTCTTTCGAAGCACGTTAGCCTGTACAACTTCTCCACTCGTTGAACAGTGCAATTTAGCGTCAGAATGCTTACCGCCTACAGGCAACGCATTAAGGGTTTGCGCATCCTTCAAAGACGTACTATTAAGGCAGGCACCTAACCGCGCGCATGTTTAAGAACTCCTGCACATTTCACGCTTGTGACACTTCGCCTACCCGTCCCCTCTAAAGGATGAATCAAAGATAGAAAGTTACTAACTTTACCCACAAATGCTACAAGGTTGTCATCTTGGAATAAAAGTGAGGTTTTGTGCTTAAGCAGTCGGATCAATTAGAAAGAAAATCATCGTTGTTTTCTACGAGCACATACTGTTGTCTATCCTAACAAATGGGGGCCTTGTGCAACCAACGTCTGTAGCTCTCACATTGCTTTCCAACCAAAGAACCTGTAACTGTTGGAGAGGAACTCGCTTTACCACAAGCAGCTGACGAATCGGTTAAATGGGCCGAGGATGACTTGAAATCGGCTGTTTTACCATCGACTAAATGAAAAGGTTTAGCAGGCGCGAAGCATGAATCGGGGAACGGTAGTCTCCGTTGCACTCCAGGACAGGTCAGGACAGGTCAGATCAGGTCAGATGGACAATAGAGGCTTCCGCCTAACGAGCGTCCAGTTGTTGTGCCGGTAAGTGAATCGGCGCCCAGCACTTCGACGTTGGATTGTTTCTTGCTTCTGCAATGGAATGATGCAAGAACAAGAGCACTCTCTGCACTTTCATATGCCAGCATCAAGATACACCACATATACCAGTACAACTACAATAGCCTGGAAAAAGGGTGGACCAACCATTGTCTAAGCCCCATTTGAAGGCTGCTACGGTCTCAGGCTCCACTAAATCAGAAGGAAGTTTATTCCAGTAGTTAAGTACTCGGTTCGTAAAAGACTTTGCCCTGATGTCCAAACGAGCTCTGTGATGTTTGAGCTTCAGGCGATGCCCGCGCAGATGGCTTGACGTAGACAACTCAAACAGATGGGTGAAACTAATACCACTAAGTCCCTTAATGATCTTAAACGTCTCTATCAAATCCCCTCTCAACCTACGCCGCTCCAAGGAAAATAATCCTAAGCTACTTAGACGATCTTCGTAAGACTTCCCTCGTTGACCTTCAATCATCCTGGTCGCAAGTTTCTGAATCTTTTCTATACATATGATGTCACTCCGGAGGTACGGTGACCAGGCCTGAACACAATACTCCAGATGTGGCCTGACCACTGCTTTATATAAGGGCAAGAATACTTCTGCTTTAGTGTTACGCAGCGCCCTCCTAAGACGAAATAACTCGTGTCGTGCTTTATTGGCAGCATGGCGACACTGTGCCGAAGGCTTAAAATTGTTCGATACGATGACACCTAGATCACGGGCTTCGTCAGTACATGGCAATGATAGAGATCCCACAGAAGACTGAACTGCAACTCCGCTACCACTACTAGTCAATAGTTGACATTTGTTGGCATTTAGAGGTAGGTCCCATTGGCTTGACCAATTCGAAACAGTGATGATGTCCTTAGCCAATGTCGATCGGTTTCCCCTACTGACTAGCTTCAAGTCATCTGCGAAGATGTAGCAGGGATCCTCAAGAAGAGGAGCCAGGTCATTTATAAACATAAGAAACAGCAATGGACCCAGAACCGAACCTTTGGGGGACACCACTGTAGGCATGGCCAACACTAGAACTCGCTTCCCCAACCCTGACTCTGAATGTCCTTCCACGTAAGAATTCAGAGCTATAGTAATAGTTGAGGATGCAATCCAAACCATGTCAGCTTCTCAATTAAAAAACGATGATTCACGGAGTCAAAGGCTTTACTGAAGTCCAAATAGCACACCTCTACCGATATCCCACTATCAAGACAACGGGTAATCTCGTCTACAAAGCAGCAATCAGATAAAGCCCGGAGTGAGTTGTTCACACAGATTTGGATTCCCCCTATCAATACAAGCAGCAACGAGGAAAATAACTAGTTTCATTGTGGAAATAACCCATTAATGTTGTTCTCCATTACAGCCATGTGAAACTTCGCAGATCCACGCGCAGCTGCTGGATTCCGAGCACGAAGGGACGTGCAAACACATTTGGATCACAAGAGAAACTGTTCGCATAAGTGTTAGTGAACCACTACACCACAAAAGAGTTCGAAAAAGTTTGGACGCTGGAAATTGACCAGTGTACATTAACCTTAAGAACACATGGATGTTTCGCGGTGCAAGCCTTCTGGTCTGTTTGATTTCCACTTGTTGCCTACGTCGTGATGCTGCTTTCATAGTGGCTGTGGCTGCCCTCTTCTTAGCTCCATCCTGAAATGGTCAATTCTTCCCTACAACGACCATGAAGTGATGGAGGGGACAAAGGAACTCGTTTCGGTTCCTTACTATGCAATCAAGTTCAAGTTAAGTTGAGGTATTTTAAAGAGGACCTTACAATATTTCGAAAGCAATGCATGCGGAAAGGCGTTGCAAATTTCAGTTATTAAATGCAAAGCAATTGACGATTTAGACCACTTCATGTGGCCTCAGGAACCAGTAATCCAAAATGACCTAGGCGGATTAAAACAATTAGTTGCTTGTTAATATTATTAAGTTTTTGAATTTTTAAAATACATTGTCTTGATGGTTCTCACTTGAACTTTGTCGTTGGTGTTATTGTCCTTGAGCAGCTGAAATGTGTAGCTTAGCCCTGTCCGTGATTTGGTGAGATGGAGGTGGCGTGTACGGATGAGGTTAAGGTTTACAAGGATGAGGGTGAGGAGGAAGAGCAGAAGAAATCTTCAGAAAACCTTACCGAGGATAAAGTCGGTTTAGTTACTGAGGGTGAAGTTCAGGTGAGGCTTACTGAGCTTTTCACTCTGCTATGGTCCTTCATTTAAATGACCTTCCTTCCTCTTTACCTTCTATTATTCTTCCTATATTTTCTTACTTTACGTGTTCGGAACACCGGTACTGCTTCTCAGGAAACATGAGCATTAATTGGTTAACCAGCGTAGTTCGGGTACCTGAACATTCCGAGGCTGTCAGCGGACTCAGAGAATGTGACCGGGTTAATTCAGTATCGAACATGAGCCTGATGGCCTGGACCACTTTGCGGGAGAAATGAGTCGTTTCTGAGATGAATATTTAACTTTTCCATAGGAATTGACCTTTGTCCTACATTTTGTATATTTCCATGAACTTGATTGCGTTAGTTGTGTTCACCTGCTACAACGAAGAATAGGTAGAGCCATGATAATGGAAATATAGGACACTTCGCGTTGCTTTATATTTCCTGTTGTCCTAGCTCGATTGGTAGTCGTGAACCATTCGGGGTGTATCATATTGGAGGTTTCCTGCTGAGAAATGTTGCCCAAGAAAGGGACCTCGGAGTAATTGTGTTTCCTTACCTCAAAACAACTGAGGACACCCGGAAAAGAGTCGCGGCTGCTTACAGGATTTTTCATGCCTTACGAAGAGCATTCTCCCGCCTTACTCCAGAACTCTTCAGACTCCTGTTTGCCTCACATGTGCGTCCGATTCTCGAGTACGGCTTGCCAGCTGCCCAGCCTCTCACGAAGACGGAATGCGATATGATTGAGAAGGTCCAGCGCCGTGGATCTAAATATGTGCCAGAACTGCGGTGCCTATCTTATCCTCTCCGCCTCCAGCGATTACGTCTTTTCTCTCTGGATTACCGTCGTCGTCGCGGCGACTTGATCTACACTCGACGTATCCTAAGAGGAGAACTTGGAAGCGAATTGCAGCAGTTCTTTCATCTGAACACTGAAAGTTCCACACGTGGTCACGGATGGAAATTGTTCAAACCGAGGAGACTCCATGTGCGGTCGAATCTAGCTCTATCCACGCGCGTGGTTAATGACTGGAATCGCTTGCCGGAGCTCGTCGTTGATGCGCAGTCCGAGGAAAGTTTCAAGAAATTGTTGGATTCCCACTTGATAACTGTGCCCGGATATTGCTTCACAACCTAGCTTTAATGGTTCATTGTGGAACCCTATTTTCACTATGACCCCAGCAATGTTCGCAATGACTGGGAAGCGACGGAGCTGATAAAGGACTCTCCTTCTGCTCTCTACCATACAATGATACAATGATACAATGAACACTCCTTTGACATTCCAAATAGTGTTCAATTGGGACTCATTTTAGAGTCTTAGCGGACTGTCGTGCCGGCAGGAATTTGTTTTAGACTTATCAAGACCTCGGGGCACCTTAGCATTTCCTGGTTCAACGATTCGCTTAAAAAGGCACACTCACGGGATTTCTTTGTCGTTCCGGCCATTTGAGCTTGAGGGGCAGGCGATAAATACCATTTAGTGCTTGGACAGCTATAGTTGCGACTTCTCACATTCGCTCTGTAAAGCTCTTTCAGGTCCTTCGGGTGATTGACCAGATCAATGTAACGCATGTAATCCTAATCCCATGTTCGTATTCATGATTCTCCATCAAACAGTTGAATACTATCCAGGATCAACGACACCCCCAGAAGGAACATCCACAAGCGTTTATCCTACTGTTCCATTCTCCCTTGAACTTAAATCTAGATTTTTAATACCATATATGTTGCATTGACTCGTTTAAATACGTAGACGCACCGGAAAGTTGCTGCATGTGGGTGTGATTGCTTTTATATTAAGGCGTTAGTTTGGGCACTCTGTGACCTCAATGTCTCTGAAACAAGCGCACGTTACATCAGCGCAGCGGTACAGCTTAATCAGGGGCGTCAGCAGTACGTCGGTACGCGGTATCGACAATTTGCTGTCACGCAACCACCATCAGTCACACGTAGGCTAAGGATACTGCAAGATCACCCGGTCCCTCCGCTGCCTCATCATCATCATCAGCAGCAGCAGTACATCAGCCATATGCACTGATGCTTCGCTGCCATACAACCATGAGGACCTATGAAATAAGGAATAAGAAGAGGGAGAGAAGGGGGACTTACCTGAAAACCTTAATGCCCTAAGCAAACATTCAGGGTCAAGGCGCCTACACCTTGTGTAGACAACATTCCGTCACAAACAGCTGGCTATCGTGCAAAGATACGGCGGCATCGGCGAGACAGCTTCCTTGCGGCTTTCACTGCCACGCGTCATAATCAGCCATTACCCCGCAGATAACTCAGCACCAAACACACTTTAAACAGGCAATCCGATTAGGAGACGGCAGCAGACGCGCCACTGGTGTCGGTTGCGAGCCATATCCTGTAAAGTCTCGAGCCAAGCACAAGGCGAGTCACGTGGACTCCAACCCGGAAGGCGAGACGGACCAACGGCACCCAGTTTGGTCGTCAGTGACTTCATTTCCCGCTGCCAAGTCAACTTCTGTCCACCTCGAGCCTTGCGCCACCTACACCTGGCAGACTAAACAAGGCCCTCCTAGGTAAGCGGTGACCAGGCATACGTAGCACGTGCCCGAGCCAACGCAACTTATTCAGTGCTATCTGTTGTTCTAGGGAGCTAGCATGATTATCACCACCTAGTACTCGCCTACGCACATCATCGTTGCGGACACGCTGGTGCCATCCGACACCAGCAATGCTTCGCAAACAACGATGATCAAAGACTTGAAGGCGCCTCAGATCTTCAGACCGAAGGGGCTAAGTCTCACTACCATAGAGCAGAACGGCCCTCACTGTGGCCTTGTATACACGGCCTTTCAGACGAAGGGAAACTCCCTTCTGTCGCCAAAGATGCTGCAGGTTCAAGAAGGCAGCTCTGGCCTTTGCAATGCGTGAGCTGACGTCAGTTTCTATGCGCCCATCATTGCTGATGCAGCTGCCAAGATAAGTGGAATGATCAACCACCTCGAGTTCCTCGTTAGCAAGGGTCAAGGGGTCATCAAGTGGCTGGTGGTCCTGCAGCAACACTTTGCACTTTGAAGGTGCGAAGTGCATACCAAATAATGGGACCATTCTGGACAGGCTATTCAGGGTTGATTGTGCCGCCGAAACATCGTCGAAAAGCAAGACGATATCGTCCGCGTAATCTAGATCCACTAACCTTTCACCAGGCAGCACTTCAACGCCTACATCGTGAGATTCTGCAATGGAACACTCCATGATAGAGTCTACGATGAAATTGAATAAAAATGGAGAGATCAGACAACGCTGACGGACGCCATTTGTGCTCGGAAAGCTATCCGGCCGGTCACCCTAGAGCCTGACGCGGCCTGTAGTGTTCGAGTATAGAGCACGTAAGATGTGCACATATTTCGTGGGAACACATTTCCGCGCAAGTATTTCGAACAGAGTGGATCGATCGACTGAATCGAACGCACTCTTGAAATCCAGGAACACAGCTATTGTCGGATGCGGTATGCGTGGCGCTGCTCTAGCACCTGCCGCAGAGTGATTATATGGTCTATACAGCCACGTCCTGGGCGAAAACCGGCCTGCTCTTCCCTAATCCGAGATTCCCGTTCTGCAATGAGGCGACGAACGATAATCGAGGCCAGTAATTTTGTCCCAACTGGCGTTAGGCTAATACCCTTGTGGTTCGCACAGTCTATGCGACTGCCCTTTTTGTATATTGCCACTATAATCGATTGGCTCCAATTAGCCGGCACACTTCGTTCCAGATACGCGCTGCCTCGAATCCGCGCGATCGGATTACAAGACGGGCTTGTTCTCCTTAAGGCTGCGGACCGGTGGAGCATTATCAGCGTTGGGCTTCCTCAGCTTCTTGGCGCGTTTGCCTCTGCGCCGCAGGTGACAATAAGCCCCGCTGATGGTGTCGAACGATAAAAAGGTGCTACGATTCCTGGATAAATTTTCAGGAATTCGGAGGGTTTAAGCGTTGGCTGCATAATAAACACCGGAATATGATAGTCAGCTTGCAGATACATGCGAAGTACTGCTCTGAGCTTAGGTTAGTTCAGAATGCAATAGCAAGAACGAAGATATATTGCAGCTATGTTTAATTAAGGGCTTCCTCGGAAGAGGGGCTCGGTAACTTAATGACGAATGACGGTTGCATGACATACGAATCCAGGAGCCCCTAGCTAAAAGCGGCCATTCCGTGCTGATAGCCACTATGGAACTGAACTTGCCGAGTGTATCTCCGGTGGAACCAGCTTACAACTACTGGAAAACTGATTTCGATGGATTATATCGAGCAGTGAGCCAACTGGATTGGTCTCTACCGCATGTTACATCTGTGGAGGACGGTTGGACAGTAATAAAGGAAAGATTGGCTTCGCTTTGTTCTCAGTTTGTGCCGTTGAAATTTCAGAAAGTCGGACCAATCAAACCACACTGGTTCGACAAGGAATATGGTAGACTGGCTCGATTACGGCGAAGAATGTGGGACGCATTTCGCCTCTCTGGCTCCGCCACTGATTACGAAGCATATAAAAGACAGCGAAATATTTGCAACAAAGTGAAATTGATAAACCGCCGGAAGTTCGAAGAAAAGCTTGCAACTGACGCAAGGATGGCCCCAAAGAAGATCTTTGCTTACGTGAAACGCCGTTTGAAGCCAAAAGGTGACGCGTCATGTCTGGAAGACGCGGACGGACACCTGCTAACTTCCAGTTCCGATCGCGCGTCCGCACTGGCCGCTCACTTCGCTTCCGTGTTTGCAAACGACGCGGCGTCCATACCCCTCTCAGCGAGTAACATTCCTGTAGAACTCAACAGTTCGGTTTGTGATGTCGACGAGGTGCGTCTGCTAATTGCGAACCTTGATGGTACCCAGCCTGCAGGGCCTGACGGGCTTCATCCGCTAATTATCAATTCACTAGCTGCCATTATCTCGCCTGCTGTTACGGATCTATTCAACAAATCATTGTCTGAGGGCTCATTGCCAAACGACTGGAAGCGCTCGGTGGTGAG